ATAACACTCTGCTGGCAAGAGGGACAGGTTTTACAAGACTTTAAAGACGCCAGCATCATAACTATGTACAAGAATAAGGGTGATCGGAGTGACAGCAATAACTACAGGGAAATATCACTGCTGTGTACTGTTGGAAAAGTGCTTGCGAGAATTGTTCTGCGAAGACTCCGGATCCTGGGTGATCGCGTTTACCCAGAGTCCCAGTGTGGCTTTCATGGGAACCGATCTACCACTGATAGATATTTTAATTACGACAGTTGCAGAAAAAATGTAGCAAAGAAAATCAACCACTGTATGTTGCTTTTATTGATCTTACCAAGACATTTTTTTTGGTTAGTTGAAAAGGTCTGTTCAACGCACTGAAGAAGATTGGGTGTCCACCTACTCTACTGAGCATTATTGAGTCGTTCCACACGGGTATGAAAGGTACAATAAACTTTGATGGTGTAACATCGGATGAGTTTGTAATAAAAAATGGAGTGAAGCAGGGGTGTGTACCTGCTCCTACCCTCTTTGGAATACACTTTTCACTTCTTTTGACACATGCCTTTCGAGATCAGGAGGGTGGTATATTCATGTATTCTCGATCTGACAGCAGCCTTTACAATGCTCGCAGACTGAAGGCCAAATCCAGGATAAGAAAGATACTTATCAGAGAGCTGCTGTTTCAAGATGATGCCGCAATAACCACCCACTCAAAGGAGGAGCTGCAATGTTTACTATCTGCCTTTGCTGATGCGTGCTGTGAATTTGGACTAACAGTCAGCAAAAAGAAGACACAGGTTATAGTGCAAGGTGTCAATGACAGACCTACAGTCTACATTGACGATGAAGAGCTTGAGACAGTAGACCATTTTACCTGTCTGGGTTCCACAGAATAGTAAACTATCACTGGATCAAGAAATCAACACCAGGATAGGTAAGGCAGCAACAACCATGAGCAGATTGAAAAAGAGAGTTTGGGAATACAGAACACTCACAATTAAAACAAAAAAACCTTGTCTATCAGGCTTGTTTTCTCAGCACTCTGTTTTATGGCAGTGAAACTTGGTCAACCTTTTTGCACCAGGAGAGACGGCTTAATAGCTTTCACATGCAATACCTAAGAAGAATACTTGGCATTAAGTGGCAGGACAAAATCACAAACACTGAGGTACTGGAAAGAGCAGGTACTACAACAGTCTTTTCCATGCTCAGTCTCCTAAGGCTCAGGTGGCTGGGTAACACCTAGAGAATGGAGGATGGCAGAGTCCCTATGGACATCCTTTATGGTGAATTAAAGACAGGAAGATGTCGAGGCTGACCTCTACTACGTTATAAAGATGTGTACAAGTGGGACATGAATGATACAGGTATTGCGGTGGACTCATGGAAACAAAATGCCATGTACTGTGTTGTGTGGAAAGAGCATTATTAGGAAGGGAATGAGAGTGAAGGAAGAAATGATTGCAGAAAGGATGAGAGCTGAGGGTTTGAAAAGAAACGGATTAAACACAAATGTTGACAACAATGGTCCTGAAGTCCCATGCCATCATTGTGGAAGACTCTTCCTGACACGGGCGGGTCTTGCTAGTCACACTCGCCATCGCCACGGGCTGCGAGTCTTATGCCTACTCATATAACACTATCGTCTGGAAAGACGGAAATGTGCCAATTTTTATTTTTTTTTATCGATCACCGGCTGTGAATTCCAGTGGAAGGTCCCGGTTAATCGTCCGCTTGGACTTTTGGCTTTCACCTGGACCTGATTTTTGCGTGTACAACCGTTTTTCATTTCCCTGCCTCATGGGCAGCTGTACTCCGACTTCGAAGGAAGATGTGTCAATTAAAGTCATTAATCTGCCCAGAGGTCATTTTTTTTTTTATATAAAGGTAAGTAAAATATCTATTAAAAAGAACAGAGAAAAGAAATAACTGCTTTCTTCTCTTGACCAAGAAAACAAAGGTTTTATTGACACAACCAAAGACGGCTTTGTGATGTATCAAAAGTTAGGCACTGAATTTAATTTCTGCTGACTTCCACAAGTCTTTATGTACTGAAGATTCCTCTTGGTTCCTGTAACTTTATTTCAACACATCTGTCTGTTTCTCTTTCTTAGTGGACATTCTACCTAACTGAGTGAATGATTCAACCGCTTGAAATAAGGTTTCAATAAAAAAGACAGGGTTATCTTTTAGTTCTTCTACCTTCACCCATAAAAGGACAGCTGGTATGTTGTGTTGTAGTCTACAGCTAAGCTGTGATATCTGCACTTTTGGCCCACACATCTAATTTCAGCAAAAGCTAAATTAATCATCTTGTACTTTTTAAATTTTTATTTATATTTTATTAGAAGAAGACTAGGACCTGAAACCAGTTATACAATTCATTAAAGAACAACAAATGAGATGGTTTGGCCACCTAATGAGAATGCCCTGGTACCAACTGCCACAGAGAGCCACACTGAAGAAATATGAACACAGAGGAAGAGGAAGACCACAAAAAATATTGAGTGATACGGTCAGGAGCAACGTAATAGAAATGAACAGCAACTTGTACAATACATTGGAAAAAGTGCACAAACGATCCTTACATTTCTCCCCGAACACCTTGCTGAGGTAAATGGTTGAAGAAAAGAAGAGGAAGTCTGACTGATTTTTTACCCCACTAGGACATCACACAAGCGATAAACACCCGATGACACAAAAGTGCCACCATGTGGATAAGGATCGCCGTGGAGAGGTCCCAGAAACCGCGTTCAGACAATTGGCCACATTGATGGCCTGCCTATATTGCGGCCCCTGGCAAAAGCCAGGGTGGGGCTTCAAATAACAAAAATTTCGTCCTGAAAAGGACGAAACTAGATATGCATGAGTATGAAGAGGAAGAAGAATCATCATCTTTTATAGCAAGCTCAGAGCAGCGGCTGCCTGAGTGGTCACACATCCTGTGCTCTCATACAGGAGCTCCAGGTATGAAGCCCTTCCAATAAATAACAAGCAACTCATAAAAGGAGACTAATTAGGTTAGGTTAGTTGTGTATCCTTTACAGGACGTTGCAGAACCAACCCTAACAGCCCCTGGCTGTTGTGTGGTTTTTCTAGGCAAATTTATGTCCAGTAGTTTGCCATTGCTTTCTGGACGGTCAGCTTTCTTGATACCACTGTCGAAACCAACGCAAGGCACATGGCCCGCAGCTGGGATCGAACCCGGCATCCCGGCATTACGAAGCGCTCGCATCGACCTAGCCACAGAGCCGACTCGACTAATTAGGACTTCTCTCAAATTGGATGTGTTGGGAAAAAAGATACATATACTGCAGCCAAGACGTAAACTACAACACAATGTGCTAGCCACACAAATTCAGAGGGAGACTGTGCAACTAACAGAACTGGCTGAGAATAAACACGCAATACACTTGATTAACTGTTTACTTTCACTGTTTCGTATACTTAATTTGTGAAGGACTGTGCCACCAATTCTCAACATACTGGAAGTCAACATTCAAGCAGTCGCACTCTAGTAAATAAAACAAATCAACATAAAGTTTCACAAGATGAAGATACCACTTAGTTAAATTTAATTACCATTCTTTACTGCTACATAAAATAAACATATATAACAAAACATCATATCATAAAGCAGTTGAGCCGAGTCGAATCAAGAATTGACATCACAGCGCTCGGGGCATTCCCATACATGCTCTGTCCTCATCCTCAGCAGGCAGCGCAGAGTTTACTTGTTCAAAAAATAGGTCCATCTTGCTTCCTCTGCAGTATGTGATCAGAAACACCCAAGTCTCATTCATCCAGGCCATAATAATTTCATAAATCCGTTTATTCACTAAATATGTCATTCATAAATGTAAAAAATATGTCATTCATAAAAACTGTGCTGAAACATTAGGTTACTTTCTTTTTTTCACCTTATCTCTCCTTGCTGAGTTCCTAATCACAGCTTTTGATTAGTTAATTATTATTTTGAAAACAGCTCTAATGTTGTCATCTGTTTTTCAACACTTTTACAGATATTACAAAATCACCCCATTTTTCAACACTTTTAGATACAGAGTGAACAGATACAAATAACAGCAGAAGTAGCTAAAGATGTCATTGATAAAGACTTTGGTTGGAAAAGTTTGGTTGCATCTGTGCATGCCCCCCCCCACCCACCCGGTCCATCACTTAGCATCATAGTGTGTTGAGTGCATTCCTTCTTAGAGGTGTAGCAGTTAGAGGCTCACCTGGGGGCCTGAAGGTTGTACAAATCTGGCACAGAAGTTTTCAATTCTCAGTTCTCGTTATGCCTAGTGACACATGAGGCTTCAGAGAGGACTTTCCATGCTTTCCTGTCCTGTGCAATCTTCAGTGCAGTTTTCCATGTCAGAGATGCCGCACTCAGGTCACTTTCCATCGCTCGTCTCCATTTTGTTTTTGGGCGCCCCTGTTTTCTCTTACCCTCTGGTGTCCATGTGAGAGCTGTTTTGACAGGTATATCAGGATTCATTCTCATAACGTGGCCAAGCCATTTCCATCTTCTCTTGGTTAATTTACTGTCTAAAGTTTCTTGGTTTGTGACTTGAAGTAGTTTAGTGTTTGAGTTTGTATCTGGCCAGAAAATTTTGATAATTCTACGTAGACATGTGTGGTGAAAGGTGGACAGCTTGTGTGCATCCTTTTTAGTCATTCTCCAGCGTTCCGCTCCATAAATAAGAACTGGCAAAATTATGCTCTTGTAGAGTCGGAGTTTCGTTCCTCTGCAATAATTGTTGGATTTCCAGATTCCGTCTTCCAGATCAACCCTGCCTAAAAGGGCTACCAGGTAAAGTTCTGAGAATAAAAAGCAGCCAGCACGATGCTGACATTACCCATCAAGTTCTTTCTGGTCTACAAATCTAGAACTATATATGCACAATATGTGTTAAGGGCATGGGAAAAGAGTTAACTTTTTACATTCAACACGTATGGATATCACAGAACACAAGATACCATCAAACAGGCACACAAAAAAGAAGCAGATGTCAGGAGGACTTCCATTCTTGATGTAGTGATTCAGCAACAGTTTTCATTGTTTGCATCTCTTCTTGTATCTTATCAGTCAAACATTTTCTTATCTCCTGCTGAAAGGGTAATAAAACATGGACAGTGTTATACCATAACTAAAGAAAATATCAAATAAATGTTTCCATGAATAATTCCAAAAGTCTGAGAAATTAATATCGTTTTGTCACCATGTGTCATTATGATAGGATAAAACCAATTAGTGATTAGGTTTCTTGGGGGCAGTACACATAAAAGCCAGGTCACCCTAGTTAGCCCACAACTTATCTCGATTATTGACAAAGAGACTAGAGCCGACCACCTAATTCCTTGCTTCGAGGTAGGAAAATTCAGAAAATTATTTCTTTTTTTCTCTGGACATTTCCCTGGATTAGTTCATATTTCGAGCCATAAGTTCTGATAAGTTCTATCCGGTACTTTACGACAGTGTGTTCACAATGGGTACCACTGATGTTGATGCGCTAAGTACATGGTTCAGTGAGCAGCCACAATCCTTTTATTTTTTTGCAGACAACATTCATAGCCTACCTACCTAGCTATTTGTCTGTTTGGAGTCATCAGCAATAAACTCCAGTGGAAGCTCCTAGCTGCCCATCACTTCTGGACTTTGGCTTTGTTCAAGGACCTGAGTTTTGCGTGTGAATCTGTTTTACATATCTGGCTTATTTGTATGCAGACCCCCGTGTGGGTTCCGGGGCCCCATTGTGGGGAAAACAAGAATAGACCCACTGCCTCCCCAAAAGCATGTCGTAAGAGTCGACTAATTGGGAAGCTTCCTTTAAAGTCGGAGTGCATCTGCCGGAGAGGCAAGGAACCAACAGTCTGTATTCAAGAGAATGAGATCTGTAAAACTGATGCACACGCAACACTCAGGTTCTGGAGCAGGACTGCAGTTCAGTAGTGGACGAGCAACCAGAACCTTCCGCCAGAGTTTACAGCTGGTGAACGTGAAGAAGAAGAAGAAGAAGTATGCAGACTGTTGGTTTTTCACCTTTCAGGCAGATGTCCTCCAACTCTGAAGGAAAGTCTAATTCTTCTTCTTCTTCTTCTTTGGGTTTATGGGCTATAAACTCAGGCGGAAAGTACTGGTTGTTCATCCACTTCTGGACTCTAGTCCTAATACAGAACCTGGAAAATGTGTGCACATCTGTTCTATAGATCTGACTCATTTGTATGCATATGACCACTGGTCCCTTGCTTCTGACACTCTGGCTGTGAAGGAAGCTCCGGTTAACTGATTTTTACGACATGCTTTTGGGTAGGCAGTGGGTCTTGTTTTTTCCCCCCAATGGGCCCCAGAATCCACATGGGGGTCTAATTATTAAATATAAGTGACTTTTCTTCTTAACTTTCACCAGCTGCACACTCTGGCAGAAAGTTCTAGTGGTTCGTCCACTTCTGAAGTTTGGTCTTTTTCCAGAGTTCTGTGAGCACATCTGTTTTACACGAGGAGAAGAAGAAGAAGAAGAAGAAGACGAAGATAAACAAAACAACAACATTTGCAAGATAAACATGGAAAGAGAGAATTTAAAACTAGGAACTTACAGCAGATTTGTTTGATGACTTTAATTTCTCCACATCTGTAGTCAAGTCTAAGGGTTTTCCTATAAGTACTGTCACATGCTGTGAGTTGGAACAATAGAAATCATAACACTTTCATAGAAACCAACATATTAAATTTTAATGAATCATCTTCTTCTTCTTCACTTCTACTGTTACAGCTTTGGGTGTTGAGAGAGTGGTTATGTTTTTTGCTCTTCTGGCCTCCTGGACCGTGAATACATTGTACTGTTCCTGTGTGGGTTCCAGGGTCCCACTGTGGGGGAACACAAGAACAGACCCACTGCCTGCCCAAAAGCATGTCGTAAGAATCAACTAATTGGGAGCTTCCTTCGAAGTTGGAGTACATCTGCCTGAGAGGCAAGGAACCAACAGTCTGCATGCAAATAACTCAGACCTGTGAAATGGATATACACACAACACTCAGTTTCTGGAACAGGACTAGAGTTCAGAAGTGGACAAACAACCAGAACTTTTCCGCCAGAGTTCACAGCCGGCAAACACGAAAAAGAAGAAGAAGATTGTACTGTTGTAGACTTTTCCGATGCTATTTTTTCATGATGTTCTACCTCATATCCTATGACCCATCTTTTCTTCTGGTGTATGCCTTGTATGGTATGGTGTTGCGAGATATCATCTCTAAGTAGGCAAACCATTTTATCTGTTGTCCATTTTATTCTGAGCCCATTTGTTCTATTATGACTTCATTCCTACAACTTTTCCCTGTCATCTTATTTCCATGGTTACTAATTTCTTTTTTTTTCTCCTGTTTGTTGTGAGTGACCATGTCTGGCACCGGTAGCTTCTTCTTCTTCTTCTTCGCGTTCACCAGCTGTAAACTCTGGCGGAAGGTTCTGGTTGCTCGTCTACTACTGAACTGCAGTCCTGCTCCAGAACCTGAGTGTTGCGTGTGCATCAGTTTTACAAATCTCATTCTCTTAAATACAGACTGTTGGTTCCTTGCCTCTCCGGCAGACGCACTCCGTCTTCAAAGGAAGCTCCCCAATTAGTTGACTCTTACAACATGCTTTTGGGGAGGCAGTGGGTCTATTCTTGTTTTCCCCACAATGGGGCCCCGGAACCCACACAGGGGTGGCACCGGTAGCAAAGGGTGGGGATTAATATGCTTAATATGAGATGTTTTAATTAATCCTGATAGATAAATACTAAAACATCATTAAAAAAGTGAATAATTCATCCTTTAAAAACCTGTTTTTTTGTATCTAGGGCTTTGATAGTGTAAGTTTCAAACATGTTATTTTATTAAGTAAATGACCCTCTTCATGCCCAAAGGTTCATCAGCATCATGTGACGAGCCTCATTTTTTTTAGAAATAATCAGACTAAACAAGTGCTACTGTCAACACTATGTTGACCAGCTTTACTTCCCAGGACATTTCCACCTTCCATTTGAGCTTGGGTCTACCTGGCAGCCTAGGTATATTTTTTAATGACAGCGTGAGTTCTGTGGCCCCACTGTGTGTGGGAGGTGGTGACGGGGATAAATCCACTGCTCTCTAACAAACACGGCTCATAAAATTCTACTAATTACGAGCGTTAATTTCAAAGTCATTGTAGGTCTGCCTGAGAGGCGAAGAACCAACAGTCTGCATATAAATAAGGCGGATCTGTACAATGGTTGTGCATGCAAAACTCAAGTTCTGCAACAAGATGTAAACTCCAGAAGTGGATGAACAACTAGAGTTTTTCCCTGGAGTTAGCAGATGAGCACTAAGAATAAGAACAAGAATGACGGTAGATCCGAAGCCATGACCAGAAGACCTTTATGCAAGCTTGCTAGCCACTATGTTACTGCAGATCCCTTACAGCACTTGTTCCCCAGTCTTTTTTGTTCTAGTTCCACATTCATTCTTCACCTTTTTTTCTTGAATATCCTCTCGGTCTTCCACACATAATTTGCTCAATATTTGCTTTCTCTGTCTACAATAATTTAATGTGTTGAATATTGACTTGTTGTTGTTTGTTTGTTTTAGTATCCAGAAGCCATGAGTTGTTAACCCTTAGGCTCGGTATTATGGATATTGCAACCTTTCTGCCTTGATTCCATTGTGAATACCGTAAATCTGGGAGAAAATGTGGCTTTTCTGCCTACCCCTGGGAGTGAACCCATACCACAAGGAGTTCGTCACCCGGTCACTGCGCAACCCGGTTAAGCCAACTTCGCTAGAGAGCGGGCGAATATTGAATTAAGAATCGACATCACAGCACTCAGGGCACACCCATAAGTGTTCCATCCCCATCTTCAGCAGCAAAGCGAAGACTTCCAATTCAGATGGCACTAGTAACTGTCTCACTGTATATCCATCTCACCGTTCCCTTGAGTGTTGAGCATGGGCTAGATCTCCTGGTTAATTTAATGAGATTTGAGTTGAGAACCAACATGGTTGTCTGAAATTCCCATAAGTGCCCCCATCTTCAGCAGCAAGCGCAGAGTTTCAATCCTGATAGCACCTTATAACAGTCTGATTGTACCCCTAACCCCCCGAGTGTTGTTCATCCACTTCTGGACTCTAGTCCTAATACAGAACCTGGGAAATGTGTGCACATCTGTTCTATAGATCTGACTCATTTGTATGCATATGACGGTTGGTCCCTTGCCTCTGACACTCTGGCTGTTAAGGAAGCTCCGGTTAACTGATTTTTACGACATGCTTTTGGGTAGGCAGTGGGTCTTGTTGTTTTTTCCCCCCAATGGGCCCCAGAATCCACATGGGGGTCTAATTATTAAATATAAGTGCCTTTTCTTCTTAACTTTCACCAGCTGCACACTCTGGCAGAAAGCTCTAGTTGTTCACACTGCTCACACTGGCTGGATCCCCTGGTCATCCCTCGCTGCATCATTCTTTTTAGTCCGTGATGATCTATTCGTGCTACCTGACTGTTTCATCACACCCAAAAGGTCCTTACAACATAACAGCTTGTCATGCGTCAATTTACCACCATGATGTAGAACCAGCCAGTCTATCTGCACATCCATTTCCCAATACACCAGCAAGTCCTGGAGAAAAAAATATTGTGGGTTAAACACCCCCCCCCCCCCCCCCCCCCCCCCCCCCCCTACAGAGACTGGTGCCCATGAACCCACACTGGGAAAAATCTACTTGAAATGGAGGCTTTAATAAACGTACATAATATTTACATGCTTATATAATATATAAATGTGCAAACAAATCTGTTTTTATGCTACCACTGTTTCCTTACCTTTCTTATCTGAGGAATGTATGGTTTGCAGTTTGGCAGAATTTGATCCATGCCTGGAAGTGTATGGTAACAGAAATAACTATTACCTTTTTAACACCAAAGTGTATGGTAACAGAAATAACTATCAACTTTTAAACACCAAAGTATATGGTAACAGAAATAACTACTAACTTTTTAACACATATGGTAACAAAAATAACTATTATCTTTTAAACACTAAAGTATATGGTAATAGAAATAACTATTAACTTGTTAACACCAAAGTATATGGTAACAGAAATAACTATTAACACCAAAGTATATGGTAACAGAAATAACTATCAACTTTTAAACACCAAAGTACATGGTAACAGAAATAACTATTAACTTTTTAATACCAAAGTATATGGTAACAGAAATAACTATTAACTTTTAACACCAAAGTATATGGTAACAGAAATAACTACTAACTTTTTAACACATATGGTAACAGAAATAACTTTTAACTTTTTAACACCAAAGTATATGGTAACAGAAATAACTATTAACTTTTTTCTATCTGCCTCAAGCAAACATAAAAAAGCCTATGTCTTAACCCTTTTGCCCTAAGAAGACTCAAATAATTATGCCTGTGGATAATTTTGTAAAAATATCCTTTAAAAAACCCCTAACAATTTTACACAGGTAAAATCTTGAAATTTCATTTCTGAAATATACAGATATTTAAAGACAACACTCAATAAACATGTATGTAGTGAATCCGAACAGATCAAGAAGTCGACCTTGCAGAATATGGACCACAGAATCATCTTCGGAGGCACTGAAAAGTACTTTTTATGAAGCAAATAAATGGGCCCATTCCAGAGATCTCATCCTGCCGTGACACGAGGCATTCCAGGAGTAGATATAATATATATATATATATATATATATATATATATATATATATATATATATATATATATATATATATATATATATCGAGAGAGAGAGAGAGAGAGAGAGAGAGAGAGAGTAGATATATAAAGACAGCACTCAATAAACATGCATGTAGTAAATCATAACAGATCCAGAGGTTGACCATGCCTGGATGGATACAGTAGTGCACCCACACACAGTAGTGCACCCACATAAAGTAGTGCACTCACATACAGTACCGCACTCACATACAGTACTGCACTCACATACAGTACTGCACCAACATACAGTACCGCACTCACATACAGTACCGCACTCACATACAGTACCGCACTCACATACAGTACCGCACTCACATAGAGTACTCACATAGAGTACCGCACTCACATAGAGTACTGCACCCACATAGAGAATTGCACCAACATAGAGTACTGCCCGATGTTTATGTTTATTCAACAGACCAACATCATGGCACACAGGTTTAAACCACAGGTGCATAAGCACTGTTCTACTTCTAACTCAAGCCTGAGTCTGAAGAATCTCAGGGCACTGCATGAACTCCGTTGCACCGGCGAGGATCCTGAAATATTTTGGGTAGACTTTTAACTCCAAATTTGGCCCTCGGCAGACCTTTAGGCTACTCTTTTCGATTTGTAGGCTACTCTTTTTGATTTCCAACTGAAAAGGGATTTTTTACGTGTCCGATCTTACTTATTGCATTGAAGTGTTATAATAGACTATTCTTCATCTGTATTTCTTCTTCTTAAAAGTCCCTGCCGTGTGGCATTGGTAGTCATGCCTTTCCACAACCTTCTGTCACATGTACTTTAACTGGATAGATAATGTTAGTAAAGCATAGCTGGGAAGTTGCCTTTTCTTCTTCTGTGGTTGTCCTTAAAATGGAGATCAGCTTGTAATGTGGTTTACAGATAAGCTGCGATACCTTTACCTTTCAGTCTTACAAATTCAATTTTGGCGAACCCATAATTACTTGCCTTTGATGACATGCTTGTCAGAGGGCAGTGTGTCTACTGACTCATATCCAGGAGTTGCTGGTATATCTTCTTTCTTTGTTCCACAACCCGTTTTTGAATGCTTGTCTTCGCTTAATGCCCATTTTCAACAGGCAATTCACTGTCTTCGTCTCAGAGTCTGTGGAATGCAGCACATTCTGAACGTCTGCCTTGTCCATACTTATTCCTCTGCTAACCACTGCAGACACAGCCATTCTGTCAGCTCTTTCAGTTCTGATCATAATGGTGATGACATTTCTCTTCTTCTAGCAAGAGGGCCAGCAGGTAAACATCTCGCCGATACGCCATCAAAGCTCCCATGTGCATTTTTATCTGCCTTTATTCCTTTCACACTGTGAGGTCCAGCAGTACATGCAACTGGGCTTTGGTAATAACGTCTCACTGCAGCTTTCCTAATGCAGTAATTTGTTTATATATCCATCCATCCATCCATCCATCAATTCGTTCATTCATTAACTACTTTTTTTTTAAACTGCATGACTAATGCTGTCACATGGTTAGTGTTCTCGCAAGTACTGCAGGTTAAGACTTAATTTTCACCTCGAAAGAAAATAACATAAGCTTACCAAGGATTCTGACCTGAGTCTATTGAGACCCCTGCGTTCTTAACTGTTCAGCCAACCGCTCCTCTCAATCACTCTCTGACTATTAACTCTTTGAGTCCCAAGGAACACATCATATGTTTATAGATTCCTACCTGAAGCCAAATGAATGCAAGATGTGCCGATTTTACGTGACTCTTGACTATCCCTATACCCCCTGGGACTCAAGAGTTTAAATAAAAACTGTGAAACAAAACCACCTAAAATTCTTATCTTCAAAAGTGTACATTTGTGTACACACAAACAGCATAAAACCACCTAAAATTTTCATCTTCAAAAGTGTACATTTGTGTACACACCAACAGCATAAAACCACCTAAAATTCTTATCTTCAAAAGTGTACATTTGTGTACACACCAACAGCATAAAACCACCTAAAATTCTCATCTTCAAAAGTGAACATTTGTGTACACAAAAACAGCATAAAACCACCTAAAATTCTCATCTTCAAAAGTGTACATTTGTGTACACACAAGCAGCATAAAACCACCTAAAATTCTCATCTTCAAAAGTGTACATTCGTGTACACACAAACAGCACAATAACCACCTAAAATTCTCATCTTCAAAAGTGTACATTTGTGTACACACAAACAGCATAAAACCACCTAAAATTCTCATCTTCAAAAGTGTACATTTGTGTACACACAAACAGCATAATAACCACCTAAAATTCTCATCTTCAAAAGTGTACATTTGTGTACACACAAACAGCATAAAACTACCTAAAATTCTTATCTTCAAAAGTGTACATTTGTGTACACACAAGCAGCAAACTTACCTACATGCCACATTGGAAGAACCAGGGGAGTTTTCTTGCAATCAGCAATAACTCTTCCTACTCCTGTAGAGACAAGATTATTGTTGAACATAAAGGTTTTGAGGTTTTGAACAATGGACCAACATCATGGCACACGGGTAGTAACCCATAAGTGCTCCGTTCTTCTTCTAACTCAAGTCTGAGTCTGAAGAAGCTCAGCACAGTGCACAGGCTCTGTAGCACTGGCAGGGGTCCTAAAAAACTGTGGGTAGATTTTCAACTCTAAATTTTGCCCAGGCAGCGCCGTTTGGTTACTCTTTTCGATTTCCAACTGCCAAGGTGTTGTTTTTTTTTTGGCGCAACAATGCACACGGGCGTTCAATCTCACTACCCAGAGACCAGGGGAAAATACTAGAAGTCCAAGTCCACGTGAAAAAATCCCAGCTCTTACCGGGGATTGAGCCCGGAACCTCTAGCACTCGAGGTGGACACCATGCCTCGACACCTACGCAGCCCCCTAGGGTTTGTACATAAAGCCACATTGTAAAGCCAGGTTTATCTTCTTCTTTTGTTCATTTAAAATAGATTATCTATATTTGCAAAGCTGCTCTAGTATGATCTTCAATGTCTTTTGTAATTCCCTTAGCTGCCCGTAAAGTTTGGCTTCCACCAGTGTTTCTCTTGGCCAGAAGCTTTGCTGGAAATGTTGTACTGGGACAGTCTTGGAGGATGTGATCTGTTGTCTCAGGTGCAAGTCCACATGTGCATATGGCTGATTCACCAATCTTAAATTCTGTGTACGTGTGGCTGCAAAGTCGACTGTGTCCTGTTCTGAGGTCTAAAAAAAAATGACTTGCTCTGGTATGTCTATGATATGGCAATCATCTTGTAACAGTTTTGGTGGCTTTCTGATTGATTTGATTATTCTCTTCTTCTGTTGATAAGAGACTGGTACTTCAGGTTGTTCTTCAGCTGCACCTTCCTTAGTTAGTTTATCAGCTCTTTCATTTACGGGAACTCCACAGTGGGGCGGTATCCATTGCATAGCTACCTTACACCCGCGCCGCCAAGTTAAGAGAATAGTGTCCCTATGCCTGGTATTTTTCCAGACGGGAGTGCCTAAAGTACTGCTATTGCATCTGCTAGGTATGTCAGGTTCAAAAAGCATGATCTAAAAGACAAAGATTTTATCACATTTAAGTGAGACTATGAGCTACTGATCTCATTTGGAATTCTTTTTGACCGAGTTCAACTTGGTCTATGTCAGGGTTTCCCAAACTGTGCGCCCTGGCACCCTGGGGAGCTGCGACCTCCTCACAGGGGTGCCACAAAATATTTGAAGATACTTGAGTTTTATTTGTTTTGATCTCTTACATACAAATAGTAATATTTTACTTAGGTTAGGGTGCCTTTGAAAAATTTTAATTGAAAAAAAAAAAAGGCGCCGCGACTAAGAAAGGTTTGGGAAACACTGGTCTATGCTGTGAAATGCAGATTCAGAAAACGGTGAGTGGCCTTTCACAGAACTGATGGTGCTTTATGCGATTATGTGTACATCCACTAATTTGTTGCAACTACTGCTTTCATGGATGATGAACTGCATTTCTAGTACCAGACTGTCTGTGTCGACACTTCTGATGGCTGTCTTATGCATTTAGTGTTTAATATGTGTGTGCCCATGGCTTTGCAGAGAGTGCAGCTATGGTCAAATTTTTTTTCACAAGGAACAGCAACGTACATTCTGTGTGGTTTTTACTGGCTGAATGTTAAATTAAAAATTGACACCATAGCACTCAGGACACTCCCATCAGTGCATTGTCCCCATCTTCAGCAGCAAACAAAGAGTTCCAATTCCGATGGCACCAATGATTGTCTGATTGTATATCTGTCTCGCCTTTCCCTTGAGTGTAGAGCATCAGCCAGATCCCCTGGCAACACCTTGCAGAGCCATTCTCCTCAGACCGTAATGATCTATTTACGCTTCCGCATTGTTCACGCGCCCCATGAGGGCCCTCACAATAACTAGCTTGTTATACATCAGTTCACCACCAAGTGGTGCATAAACTCACCAGGAACTAAGCAACTATGGGGTGACCCATTTGCTATGAAGGTGGAACTGTGTTTATCTCCTCCTTCTTCTTCAGGTTCACAGGCTGTAAACTCCAGCGGAAAGTTCTGGTTCTTCATTCACCTCTGAACCTAAGTCTCCTGAATGTTGCTTGCACATCCGTTTTACAGATCTGACTTCTGTGTATGCAGACTGTTGGTTACCTGCCTCTCAGGCAGATGCACTCTGACTTCAGATGAAGCCCCTGTTAGTCGACTCTTATGAAATTGTAGAGGTTTTCATTGCAATTCTTCCCTATTTCAGCGTTACTAGAATGACAATGTCATTAACCAAATAATGTCAGTTTCTCTATAATGACCCTGTGGTTAACAAAATAATTCTCCCATTAAAAACAGATTCACCATAAAAGACTCTCTCCTCATTTCATGTTCTCTATAAAACACCTTACCCCATTTCAGCCTCAAAAATTCTTGAGTTACATTGACTTTGCCTGAAAAAAAAAACTTTTGGGTTAAAACATGGTAGAATATCTTTATCTTGTGCAATGTATCCTTGTCATTGAGAGTTAGAAAAAGAATTCTTGCTTGCTAAATACATCACGTTTTAACACATGGTTGTGAATCCTGAACAATCGATAAGCAGGCCAAACAATTTCTAGAGGCCTCAGAGATGTGGTTGTACAGAAAAATGCTTAGAATACCTTGGACAGCCAAAAAGAGCAACCAAGAGGTTTTGAAAGGGGCGGGAGCCCGAAGACAATTTATCACAGACATAAGAAGGAGACAGTCATCATTTTTCGGCCATGTTATGAGAAGAGGAAAAATAGAACATGTGGTGACCACTGGAAAGATCTGTGGAAGGAGAGATAGAGGAAGACAACAAGAGAAGACGCTTGACAGTCTTGTTGCATGGTATGAAGGTGTGTCGGCACACGAACTGATACATGCTGCAGGAGATCGCAGATTATGGAGAGGCATGATCGCCCACGCCAGTAGGCAAGGCACCTGATAATGATGATGAGTATATCTTTGAACTAATCTTAAAAAGAAAACTTTTAGGTTAAAACATGGTAGTATATCTTTTAACTAATTTCATTCTTCTTTCTTTTGTCATCCCACTGATATCAGGTTGTAGTCCATTTTTGGGGTGTTCTGTATTTATCTTGCACTTCCCAGGTGGCTTGGGTGATGGATTTGTTCATCTTTTCACAGGTTTAGCTCCAACACTTATTCATCCCTTTCTTTGTCTTTCCTCACCTTCTTCCCAGATGTTCTGCTATAAAAAGTCTCATATGTAGTTTGGTCAGGCTGCATTCTCCCTAGATGACTGAACCATAAAAATACAATAATAACTAACTTATTTGCTTGATTATTTATGGTTATGACAAGTGTTATCATGTTTTCTAGTGAAGTTGTCTTCAATAAAGGTATATTTTGACTACATTAAATAGTTGTGCATTAATGTAAATGAAATATCTAACTAACGATGAGAAAAGTTCTGGTTGTTCATCCACTTCTGGACTTGAGTTTTGTGTGCCCATCTGTTTTACAGAATTAGATTATTCTTATGCAGACTGTTGAGCCCTTACCTCTGAGGCAGGTTCACTCTGCCTTTGAAGGAAACAACCCTTATTAGTTGCCTTTTATCATGTGCTTGTTAGGGGGGTGTGGCTCTACTCTTGCTTCCCCGAAAACAGTGCCCAGGAACCCACATGGGGAACTAACTAACTTAAATCAGATGTCGCTGGGCTGAATGGCGCAGATATTTCAGCGCAGCTGCAAACCCAATAACCCAATGTGCCAACCTCCCCTGCAAGGACAAACACACGAGAAGAAGAAACTGACAAACCTTCTGGGAAAAAGTGGACCCATTTACCAAGATCCAGCTGTTCTACAGAGAAATCCATGCCCTTCTGGTAAACACCGTCTCCCCTTACCAGAGGAAACACCTTCCCCAGGGAGAAGAATACTGCATGCCAGGGCTTTATAAAGCAAATGTCTTCTGCTGCAGACGACCAGCGCATTAGGTCAAAGTTCAACAGGTGCCTTGTCTTTAAAGTTCCTGCAAAAAGAAAGAAAAAAAAAAGGTTGTTGAGCTATACTATATGTACACAGTAAGTAGACGAATGATGAGAATACCCCCTGGACAGATAAAAAGAGTAATGAGGATGTCTTGAGAGAAAATGACTCATGAAGAGAACTGATTACCCAGATCAGAAGGAGACAATCTACATTCTTTGGTCATGTCATGAGAAGGAGAAAATTGAAGTACATAGTGACAGTAGGAAAGTCGGAGGCAAGGAGAGGCAGAGGAAGACTGAGAGAAAATATGCTGGTCAGTTTTGACATCAAGGCATGGAAGATCATCTGTGTCAGCGTTGACTGAAAGTACACAAGGCAGAAGGTTGTGGATTGACATGACTACCAACGCCACAAGGCATGGTCTTTTAGAAGAAGAAGTAAACAAGTTTCTTTATGCATGCCATAAGAAAGGGAAAAGTTAAGTATACAACATCAGTTCATCTGTAAACTCTGTTTCACAGGTCAGGCCTATTTGTGTGCAGACTGCTGGTTCCTTGCCTCTCAGGCAGATGGTGGTGCATGGGAGTCTTGCCAGATATTTTAAGGTGGTGGTGGGGGGGGGGGGGAATGTTGAAAACCATCACAATAAATATTTCCAAATCGGGAAACATACCCACAAAGCAGCCACCATGGTCTAGCGGCTAGACGCTCGCCTGAAGATCTGAAGGTGTTGGGTTCGGGTCCTGACAGGGGCCGGACTTCTTTTTATTTTTTTTTTATGACCTTGGCTCCCAGGTTGACCCAGCTTTTAGTGAGTACTAGGTACAGTCCTGGGAAGTAAAGGTAGCCGACCACATCACTCCCCAAGTGCCGTTTGGTCTATAAAATATAGCTCTAGCCCTATACACCCAATACACCTGAAGAGGTAGAAAAGGATCCTTCACTATACCCACAATATGAATGTTATAAGCAAGTTGTATTCTTATATTAATGCAATGCGATCTTTACCAGCACTATGGAGTCATCTGTTTGCTATGATGTTGGAAAGCCATTACCTTTACAACAAAACTGTTACAGCAAAACAAAACAATATCTTCTCCTACCCCAGACAAGTGGATCATCCACGCAGCTACTGTGATTACTGACAGTCAGAAGTCCTCTGTCATTTGGCCTGTTCTCTACTAAGTTGTGCAAAACCTCCTTATTATGAACCTTGACTGTGTTCAGCCATTCTGATGTAAGCAGGAGAAACAGAAAAGATTACTTTAACTGGGCTACAGTGGGGGAAACACATTTTTATTAGCTCTGTGAAAAAGAACCATTTATAATTTAAGTGAAAACACTAAAATATAATAATTGTTCTTCCTCTCCGAGTCCATTGATTGTAAACTCTGGTGGAAATTCTATGTTGTTCATCCTCTTCTGTACCCTGGTCTTATTTTAGGACTTGAATGTTGCACGCACAACTGTTTTACATATCTGGTTTATCTGTGTGCAGACTGTTGGTTCCTAAACCTCTTAGGCAGATGTACCACTTCAGAGGAAATACTGGCAAGGCTTCCAGATGGAATCTGTTTTCAAGGATAAGAATAGAGAGAAGAAGATGGGTCTTTATTAGAAAGAGTAATTATTGTTTAACTTCCAAGTTAAACATTTTAAGAACATTCATCTTTTCTGTGACAAAATACAAATTTGAGTCACAGACCATTAGGCAATGACCAAAGAAAATGGTTGGATTAATCAAATTGTGGCTAAAATCTGTTTTCAGAAATTTTAACAATGGCGGTGATTAAATAAACGTTCAAGTCTTCTTATTCTTTTTCGTGTTCACTGGCTGTAAAACTATGGTAGAAAGTTCTGTTTACTTGTTTCTTTTGAGGAGTTTAATCTTGTTTCAGAACCTGAATGTTGCATGCACATCCATTTAACAGATCTGAATTATTTGTATGCAGACTGTTGGTTCCTTGCCTCTCAGGCAGATGCACTCCGACTTCAAAGGAAGCTCCCAGTTAGTCAACTCCTACAACATACTTTTGCGAAGGCGGTTGGTCTATTCTTGTTTTCCCGACTATTGGGCCCCGGAACCCACACTGGGAAATGATCAAGTAAATGAGCTTCGTTTTCAAAGAGTCACAAACTTGCCCATTTAACATTCGGTCTTTTCAACTATTCATCTTTCATGCAGATCAATCCCTTCAGCCAGCCATATACTAGTAGTCTCACTGTTCCAGTTTATCAGTCTGCTCAATGAGAAGGTCGAATGGCTTGCATGACATCAGCAGACTACTTGATTATTTATTTATTTTGTAAACTTCTATGGAACACCTGGGAAATATAACCACAGGAAATAAAGTGACAAATGATACTATCAGAGAGACTGTGGGAACAACACCATGCATCAAATTCACTGAGAAACAGAAGATCAAAGTGTTTGGTCATCTTGTTAGAATGCAGCCATAACAAACATGAAAATATCTGAAAATAATATAAGAAGGAGAAAAAGAACAGGAAGTCCAACCGTCAAATGTCTTACTTGGGAACAGACATAAAGTTCAGAAATCCAAAGTCAGATATCCTACAGTATGACAAGCAAGGTTCTGATGTCTGACCCTCAATTATCCTACTGTATGACAGGCAAGGTTCTGATGACTGAACCTCAATTATCCTAGTGTATGACAGGCAAGGTTCTGATGACTGAACCTCAATTATCCTACTGTATGACAAGCAAGGTTCTGATGTCTGACCCCCAATTATCCTACTGTATGACAGGCAAGTTTCAGATGTCTGACCCTCAATTATCCTACTATATGACAGGCAAGGTCCTGATATCTGACCCTCAATTATCCTACTGTATGACAGGCAAGGTTCTGATGTCTGACCCTCAATTATCCTACTGTATGACAGGCAAGGTTCTGATGTCTGACCCTCAATTATCCTAGTGTATGACAGGCAAGGTTCTGACATCCGACCCTCAATTATCCTAGTGTATGACAGGCAAGGTTCTAATGTCCGATCCTAAATTATCCTACTGGAACCATGAATAGGTTTTCTAGAGGCAACACCTGTAGAAAAAAAAGGGACAGAGAGGTTACCAGATGATTAGGGCTAGATCATGTCACATAAAACAATGGCTCCAGTCATCAAAGAGACAGGATCAACCTATACCTTTTAAGAAGTTGGAGTACATCTACCTGAGAGGCAGGAAATAACACCCTGCACATAAATAAACCAGTTAAATGTATGTATATATGCAAAACTCAGGTCACAGCACAAAGCCAAAGTCCAAATGGATGAACAACCAGTACTTTTCACCACAGTTTACAGCCGGTGAATGCAAACAAACAACTGCTGAGAAGGGGATCTGAGCAGTTGTGGAGTAAATGGTTTAATTTTCAATGAGTATGATGCACTAGCTAGCTAACAACATCTTCATTATATATACTGCATTCAAAACCACAGTCAACCAACAACAAAAACAACAAAAACAATTATTACCTAACCAAAGTTTGCTACAAAGGCCCACAGTTCTCACGGCAAATCGACTAGAAAACTTCCACAGCCAAGGAACTTTCTGCCCTGGTGACGCAATCCTCCAGGATCCATCCTTTAAAGGCATTGTGAAGGCGATCTGATGCTAATTTTTCAGCACTATGTGTGTATCAGATGATATTTATTATATCTACAAACCATGTAGATTACACATTCCTCTAGACTGTTTTGTTACATTGGAGTTTTGCTCTAATTTCTGTATAAATGTTTATGAGCTTGTCTTTACACATATTTATATAATGATCATCTCTGAGCAATGCTAAATGACCAGAAGAGTTACTTCTGCCTGTCAAGAAACATGGTGAAGATTAAAATCTGATTTTGAATTCTTTGTGAGCTAATTAATTAAAGATACCTTTAATATGCCTTCTATTTTTCCAGTTTTATCCTCATTATCAAGTAAAACTATGTCTCCATAGCTTCCACATAACTTTCAACTCACTGGTTGACTGTCTATCGAGGCTACCTGTCTATTGAGGCTAACTGTCTATCGAGGCTACATGTCTATCGAGGCTACCTGTCTATCGAGGCTACCTGTCTATCGAGGCCACCTGTCTATTGAGGCCACCTGTCTATCGAGGCTACCTGTCTATCGAGGCTACCTGTCTATCGAGGCTACCTGTCTATCGAGGCTACCTGTCTATTGAGGCTACCTGTCTATCGAGGCTACCGGTCTATCGAGGCTACAGGTCTATCGAGGCTACCTGTCTATCGAGGCTACCTGTCTATCGAGGCTACCTGACTATCGAGGCTACCTGTATATCGAGGCTACCTGTCTATTGAGGCTACCTGTCTATCGAGGCTACCTGTCTATCAAGGCTACCTGTCTATCGAGGCTACCTGTCTATCGAGGCTACCTGTCTATCAAGGCTACCTGTCTATCGAGGCTTCTTTTTCCTAGAAAAATAATGCTAGTACTCATTATGAAGAGTGTATTGCCCGGCTCTCTAGCGTAGTTGGCTAAACCGGATTGCGAGGAGACCGGGTGACGAACTCCTTGTGGTCCGGGTTCACTCCCGGGGTTGGCAGAAAAGCCACATTTCTTCCAGATTTACGGAATTTACAATGGAATCAAGGCTGAAAGGTTGCGATATCCATAATACCGAGCCTAAGGATTAACAACTCATGGCTTCTGGATACTAAAACAAACAACATGAAGAGTGTATTACACTTTTAACATATAATCTGTTGAACTTTTGTCTACTTTATTAAACTCCTTCTTGCTTTTGACAACCACTGCAAAATGCCATCCTTTAAGCAGCGTGACTTTGTAGGATAAACTCAGAAGTCATATGACCACTGGTCCTCTTCTTCTTTTTCACACTCACTAGCTGTAAACTCTGGAGGATTGTTCTGTTTGTTCAACCACTCTGGGACTGAAGTCTTGTTCCAGAACTTGGATTTTACATACACATCCATTTTATAAATCGGCTCTCCTTTAAATAACGGTCGCTAGCTGGAAGGCAATGGCCGGTTAGTCGGAGTTCAGTCCCCTGGCTGCAGTGCAATTACGGAGTGGAAAAGAGGGAACGAAACAAATGAAATAGTTACCTGTCATCCTAGGGTTAGGCTTAGGGTTTGGGTTAGGGTTTGGGGTAGGGTGATGGTTATGGTTAGGGGTAGGGTTAGGGTTAGGGTTTGGGGTAGGGTTAGGGTTAGGGTTTGGGGTAGGGTTAGGGGTAGGGTTTGGGGTAGGGTTAGGGTTTGGGGTAGGAGTAGGGTTAGGGTTAGGGTAACACATAAGCTTATCGCTTATTACGACATAAAGATCCGCAGGTCTCACATCTACGGTCACTAAGTCTTGGGTTGGAAGAACGCGGTCGCTAATTTGAGTCGCAGCACGTGGTCTACGAGAGTCTTGCGTCGCAAGAACGCGGTCGCTAATGTCAGTCGCAGCGAGTGGTCTAGCTCTAGCAGCCATGTCAACCTCACTTTGTTTTTTTGATTCGTGACTTGTCCACTCCGTAATTGCAATGCAGCCAGGGGAGTGAACTCCGACTAAGCAGCCGTCGACGTCCAACTTGCGACCGTTATTTATTGGAGAACCTATAAATCTCTCTTATTTGAATGCAGACATTCGGTTGTGGTTCCTGGCCTCCCGAGCAGATGCACTCTGATATAGAAAGGGAACACCCTTAATTACAGTCGATTTTTATGACATGCTTGTTAGGGAAGTAGTGAGTATATTCTGTGCCGTTTCCTATGCAAAATGAGGACTTCCTGCCGAGGAACAAATCGCGGCAAAACTAGGATCGGCTCTGAATAACGAAACAAATGCTTAAACAGGGTCTCAGGTTAATTGTGAACCTGTTTCTGCGACTATGGTGCACCGACGACAGTATCCCCGCGCCGCTGCGCATGGCGCAGATAAGGGGCTATAACTAGATGGCTGGGATTCACGAGCAGAAGCTACAGCATCTCCTACAACTTCCTCCAATTTATTTGCTCGTGTCAAAGGCATCTAGTTTAGATCCCCATCTGCGGCGCATGTAGCGGCGCAGTGGATACGCTCTGCGGTGAATTTAATCATAAGAACAATATCGCTAATCTGTATCTTATTGCGTGGTCTCCCCGCCATCTACATACTATCGTCTGTAATGTTGTGTGTCTTGAAATTGTCAATGGTTGCTAGTAATCGCCTGCTAGTATCGTCTGCAGAAACCTCGAAATTGTCAACGGTCGCAATTATCATTATCGTCTGCTACCAACGTCTGCAGTGTTGCGTCTCTTAAAATTGTCAAGTAATCCTAGTTTTGCCACGATGTGTTCGTCGCAGGAAGTCCGCATTTTACAAACGACTGAGGCCCTGTTAGGGTATTTGTTTGGCCGCCATAACATGGGGTAGAAGTTCGGAGGAGAGCCAATGTTTTCATACAAAAACTCTTCGGTGCAACTACTTAACTTACCTACTGCTCAGCTCAAAAGTTACATTTAATAAGTTAATTATTAACTTCAAGGTTTAGGGTATAGGTTAAGTGATTGCATAGTATAGTTATAAAACAATAAGAAGCATTGGTAATCATCATATTAAATAACTTTAATCCCGGAACTTGCAATTAAAAATAGACGTCCATTTACGCACTGCCCCTTGAAAAGACACAAACATGGGAAATCACTCCGGTTATCTTTCACAACTTTCGTTATCGAGATTGTCAGCCCTTGGAGAGAGAGAGAATGAATAAATATGTGGACCATTCTTCTTCTTCTTCTTCTTCTTCTTTTCTGTTGTCTCACTGACACCAGGTTATAGCCCAGTGCCGTCGTGATCTGTTTTTATCTTGGGCTTCTGTGGTGGCTTGGGTGATGGATTTGTTTCTTTTTGCACGTTTCACTACACCATTGTGGCGCGGTGATTTATGTCACAGGCGTGAGGGGAAGTTAAGTCCAACATGATGTGTATAAGGAGATACTCCGTACGTCACTCGGGCGCCAGTCCTTTACTATCCTGGTTGTACGGAACCTCACGCAAGACCCCTACAGCACGTCCTCGTCGTGCGCCACGGATAATGTCTCAAATGAGCATTAACAGAGCTGTCAGGGGATCTCGGAGTTTGGCGGCCCCCAGAGGTGATGTGTCCTTGTGGCTCTCATCAGCCCGCCCCCAAACGCTTGGGTGAAAAATGTTATCAAAACTCACCAGGAACATGAGTAGGTTTGGCAAAAGTACAGCTAAAATTACAACCCTTGGTTAAAAGACTGCTGAGTAAAGAGAACATTGCTCAATGCTCATCCTCGGTTAATTCTCAGTGTCGTCGTCACCGCGCTGAGGTGCACCACAACAGCAACCATACATGGGCTGGCCATCCTTGTGCATCCTCGGTTGGCCCTCAGTGTCGTCGTCACCGCGCTGTGGTACACCACAACAGCAACCATCCATCGGATGGCTAAGCCTAAATGTCCGACAAAACTAGATCATACGGATCAAAATCTGACCATCAAAATTTGCACTGAACTGAAAAATGCCGAATGTCCACACCCAAAGACCCCACTCGCCCGAGTGTTGGGACAAAACTGATAACGATATGCCTGAGTCAGGATGTGAAATTCTGTCGGGCTAATGTACCTATCTGTGTGGTCACAAAAGTCCAAAACCCACGGGCTGCTCCCCGCTGACTTCCAGAGGGCGCAGCCCCTGTCGAGCGGGAGGCCTGATACGGTTGTGAGGTTAAGCAGGCATGTGCAGGACGTGACGATTCCTTGGGTGAGCCCAGAACCAGAGCGCCATGTGCCGGCTCTGCATGCATGGAAGCCTCCTTGGATGGCGGGGAATGCCCATGATCTGCCCCTGCCTTCCCTTGAGGGCCAACTGTTCCACAGGGGGCTGCCCCAAAGGGGTACTCCGGGGGCAATACCTGCGGCGAAGGAGACAAGGCGGACACCACACAAATCAGGCAAAGTCTCGACCCACACAAAACAATGGCCACAGTCACCCTAGAAATAGGCCTGACGTCTTCCTTCGAAGTCGGCGTACAGCTGCCCAAGAGGCAGGGAAATGAAAAACGGTTGTACACGCAAAAATCAGGTCCAGGTGAAAGCCAAAAGTCCAAGCGGACGATTAACCTGGACCTTCCACTGGAATTCACAGCCGGTGTTCGATGAAAAAAAAAACAACTACACCATTCCCTCATCTCTTTCTTGGTCTTCCCCTCGCCCTCCTCCTAGATGTTCGGCTGTTTAAAAAAAAAAAAAGTATTATATGCAGTTTGACCTGACTGAATTCTCACTAGATGGCAGCACAATTTCATTCGTTGTTTGTCAATATTATCCAGATATGTTCTTTTTTCAGCTTTCTTTCTAATGCTGCTATTCGAAACTTCGTTTCTTCTTGTGGACCATTTAAATCTGCATTATGACAGTGGAATTTGTTACTGATAGACGATGAGAGGAAGGGGCGAGGGAAAGATCAAGAAATTTATAAGCTTTTCTTCTTCGCGTTCACCAGCTGTGAACTACCGTGAAAAGTCTGTGTTCTTCGTCCACTCCTGGACTTTGGTCTCATTCTAGGATTTGAGTGGTGAGTGCACACGCGTTTTACATATCTGACTTATTTGAATCCAGACTGATAGT